GGCTGTATTCGGAATGATTTTTGTTGGCGAAATAAAGCAAAAACAAGCAATATGGTGTCTAAAACGTAAGTCTCTTAATTAACTTATTGTTTATTGAATTCAATGTCACATTTGTAATCATGGTCATTTTTGGAGAAAAATTGCACTTTTCGTGTGAAATTGAATAACTGTATGAAGTGGTATAAATATATACATTTTCTGCCATGTCTTGAATTTGTGATCATTCTAAATGCATTTTAATAGACTGAATCATGCAGTGAAAGAAAACACACTAAATGCGCGCACACACACTAGTCTAGACTGTAGGGATGTTTTGAATGGTTTTTGCAAAATACTTGATAATGTCAAATCACACATCGTTAAAACAACAATTACGATATTATCCCAGATGATATATATCGCACACCCCTAACTATCCCTTTAATTTAGTAATGAAAAGGGCAGCTTTTTTACGTTTTATTTAAACATTTTAATATTTATTTTATTTATTATGCAAGTGCAAGTACTTTTGACTATATTTTAGTTTTCAGGGCAATTTTTTGGAGTTCCACAGCTGTGTGTGAAAATCAAGGGCTTCTGTATCAAATATTACGTCAGTAGTGCATCAGTGTGCCAGCGTCTTTTGAGAGGACTAAGTATGTGAGAACTTCTTTTAAATCTGCTTTAAAAGAAGAGCGCAGTGCACAAGCCTCCTCCTTCCTGATGTTGAATAGGAGCTGGAGCTGCTCTGACTCCACATCTTTGAGAAATGAATGGGATCCTCTGCTGGCCTTTCATCTCCAACAGGAGGCCTGCCGCGTCTGCTCCAAGTCTCTCGAGTGCCAGAGAGAGTACTGTTCCCTCTGACAGCACTGCACGGAAAGAGAGGCTTCAGATCAGGCGGATGGCAGTAAACATTTTAATTGGTGCTATATGGTGTGTTACTGGTAGACTTGTTGCCCATGAAGCCTAATTGAGGAATCGGTAAAACTGAGCCTCTATGGGAAGCTGAAACCTCAGTAGTAGTTCATTGTGTCAGCCTTTTGTGCCAGTGATTCTGTTCTTTGGATAGATTGTACTGTAGATAGGCAGAATGAACTGAAAAGCTCATCTGCGTATTTATTTTAAACCATTCATCAAACTTGTAATGGCATAATTGCATTATGAGGGGATTTTCTCCTACTCTTCTGATAACTATATGTGATCAGCTTCCACTGTGTGTTTTATGTTAAAGATGACAGGTGTGTTTTATAGAGTAGATTATTTAGGACAAAATCGATAGTCCTAAGAATGACATTTACTGTGTAACATGGAATGTCATGAAATTAATCAAGTTAGTTATTAAATTCACTCAAACCTCTAAGTCACACAATATGGACTAGTGTCTGTGATTATTGTCAAATGTGCTCAGAAACTCAGGTCTTCACTACAAACCAAAAAAAGTTCAATTTAAGTTCAGTTTTGAAGATATTGACAAACAAATATTAGTATGTACTACTAATGCTACTACTACTAATTTATTAATTTGTTAAACCTTTTTTTTATTATTGGGAATATTACACAATAGAGAGTTTTTTCATCATCAATGTAATTTAAACAGCTGTATGAATAACTATATTTGGGGGAAAAAATAAATGCAATATTTTCTTTAAAAGGAATTGACTTTTTATTTTTATTTTTTGGTTACATTTTAAGATATTTCAATAAATTGTTATAGTTTTGTGAATTAGTTTGATTACCATTTTTGGTTATTTACATTTTAATTAAGTAATATTAAAACATAATTTTGGGGAAAATATTAAACAAATTACATAAGGTCCTAAAAAAATTATGAAAACCACATCAAGTGATTAGAACCAAATCAACAACCATGTAAAACTATGTAACAGAATTTGACAATAAATATACATTTATGAAAGCCACAAATTCTTCCCAGACTTTGTCATACATCATAAACATTCTTGTTATTCGTTGGTATTGGGGTTATGAAAGGGGTCCTTTACTTAAAAAAAAAAAAAAGGAAAAAGTTTGAAAACCTTTAGTATTTAAATATACGTTTGTACATTGAGAATATAAATCCTGGATGATACATTTTTCTGGTGTTTTTTTTTTTGCTTAGTATGCATCTATTTATGCTTTTTGGGCTAATATTACAATGTTTTCAGTTGTATAAATGTGGCAAGAAACTTTCACAGCAGTTTGTATTGAGCCAAAAGTAATGATTTCATCATGCTATAGTACATCCTAATACTGTCCCTTTAACATGTAGTACAAGTAGGCAAATTGAGACGCAATATGATTTCTGTGCCATATTTGTCTGAGAAATAGTGGCAGCCTGCTCTTTTATACACCATTAGTTTTTTTTTCTCTTTTAATGGTGTCTCTTTAAGGTCAAATGTGTTTCACTTCTTCACAAGCTCCTTTAAAACACCCGGAGTTGTCTCGCCCAGCAGGGTACAGACACGGCAGTGAATCACACGGCCGAAAAAAAACCTTCAGTGTCCAGCATTAAAACTGCACACTAACACATCACCACTTTAATTTCACATTAACATGGTCTGGTTAAAAACAGTTGTGCCGCTTAACATTTTTGTGGAAACAGTGATAATTTTTTCAGGATTCTTTGAATAGTAAATATTTATATAAAGTAGAAATATTTTGTTAAATATTAAACGTAACTGTCTTTACTGTCACTAATAAATTTAGTGTGTGTGTGTTTTAATAAGTGTTCATTTCTTTAAAAACAAATCTTACTTAGCCCAGACTTTTATGCTAAAAAAAAAGTGTTAAGATTCTGACTAGCATGTGAACAAATCAGTAGTGCTGTCAAACGATTAATTGCGATTAATCGCATCCAAAATAAATGTTTTTGTTTGCATAATATATGTGTGTGTGTGTACTGTGTATATTTATTATGTATATATAAATACACACACATGCATGTATATTTTTCAGAAAAAATATGTTGTTTATACAGTGGGGAAAAAAAGTATTTAGTCAGCCACCAATTGTGCAAGTT